GGTTTTGGAGTTGAGCATGTCACCATCACTGGAGACCTCTCTTTAAAAGATGAAGAGAACATTTGCTCCTCCCTGGTTGGGGACTTGGATGAGATGAGGTAACAGAGAAAGAATGGAGCCCCACCTCATTCTGACCACTGCTCTTTCCGTTCATTTCTCCAGGGGAAGAGTACAATTCAAAAATATAAAGATTGTGAGCTAATGAGATAGACAAGACAACCGATCATTTATTAAATAACCTTTCATGCCAGAAACAAATGTATTATGCACACAAAAAGCACATAAATTACGGTAGTACTGTGGTTACAAACGTGGGTCCGGGTTCGAGTCCTGCTCTGGAGTAACAAGTCCTGTGAGATGGAGAACTTGTAGGTCGGCTTAGCCTCTCCCAGACTTGTTTTCTGTCCTGCAGAGACGGGGCTCGCTAGTCATCCTTCCCCTGTAGAGGTGCTGTGGTGTGTAAATGACGCGCGTGGGCAGCCCGAGCACACCTGCTCGTTCCTTATAAGTGCAGGATAGCACAGCTTTTGCGGTGACGGCTTTATGATCGCACCGTGTAGTCTCTCAGTGCTCTGAAGGGATGCCTTGCGGTTTGGAGATGGGATTCTCACTTCTGTAAATACCCAAGGGTTCTGTTATTGAGCCTTGCTGATTTAATCTATTCTTTAGAAAGTACATAATTTAGATATATTTTTCAAACATGCATGCTTTTCATCTTTTATTATTTATACTTCTACCCTCTCATCTCTTGGCGTGACATTTCATGGAATCCAGGAAACAGTCCTAAGCCACCTGCCTCTTCACACTTCTTCATGACGGTTCTCTTCCTTGACTAGAAGAGGGTTTTGCATAGGAAATTTTGTTTGCTCCCCTTCTCTTGGAGTCTCCCTGTTTGTCTGCCCATCTCTCACCTGTCCATCTGTTCATTCCTCTACCCACTCATTCTTCTGACTTGTTCCAAGAAGCATTTCAGACAGCTTACAGAAGAACAGATGCCAAATAAACAGGTGAGAAAATGGGGCCAAGTTCAGACATTGAGGTTCGGAGTTGAGCCTGTGTGAGAGTTGCAGGCGTGATACACACGCCTCTGCCTTGTGACTTATAAGATCGACAGCATCAATGTGCCTGAGGCTCCCAGCAGACACAGGGAAGCAGGGTTTGTGGGAGATGCTCACTGGCTGTGAAATAAATAAGTGGCTTAGGAGAAGCCCAGTCTTTCCAACAACTAAGGCTTAGGAGAATATTTTGATTGTCTTCCAAAATCAGAGTATTGCATCTTTTTTTTTTTCAGAGTTTTATGTATAGTTGGTTAACATTCTATACCTGGAAATTTCTCCAAAACTGCTGCCCACGTGAGTCCCATGGCTCGGGAATGGGGTGGTTCTGCTCATTGACGGGTGTTGGCCAGAAACGGAAAATGACAGCCTCAAAGTAGCCTGGGATTTATCAGTTATGTTTTGTCAGTGCTGTAGATTTCAGAAAATGCTTTTACCATTTCTCTCCACCTGAGGTGGCAGCGTGTTCTCTTCCCAGCATCAGGAGCTCAGGGCCACATGATGGTGGGGGCTGGCTGCACTGCCATAAAGACAGCTGAGCTAGTCACTGCATGTGTGGTGCTTTCACGTAGTGCATTTCATGTTCTTTAATAGGTTTCAACAGGTAGTTAGCTAACTGAGTTTATTAACATTTAATAAATATGATGCTTTGTTGAAAAGACAGTCATAGGCAGAATATAAGTTGTGAACACTTTAAAAACGGCTTCATTACTGAAATTTCAGTAAGGAAGACTCAGTTTATCTTATTTACGCCTCTCTTTAAAAGTAACAAAGAAACAAGACAGAAAAAGCAGAGGATGATTTCTGTTCTTTC